TCTACAAGCTTTGCAAGTGGGAAAACCTGAAAAATCAACAGTGTATCAAATACTTGTTCTCCCCACTGTACGTAGCTAACCAGTTAAAAAGATGAGGAATAAAGTTCTCTGTCAGCAAGATGGATTTCTGTCATCTGTAAAACTAATAATAAAAAAAGGGAAATATGTGGGTCTTCAACTGTCCCGATTGAAAATCTGTCCTGAGTGAGGAGAYCTGCTGAGCCGTCAACAACGTGCTCAGAATAACAGATAAACATTAAGTTGTTAAAGTTCGGATCTGTTTATTTTCTGATTCAGACGTCAACTGTCATTTATTAGGTTGATAATCGTGTGTGTGTGTGTGTGTGTGTGTGTTTGGGTTTATTGTAAGGACCCACTGTCTACTATGTGCGAATAGGTTGTTTTGACGGCCGTCATGGCGAAGCGAGCCGCCTTCTGAAGAGTGTGACGTTGCTTATCAGAAAGAAAAGAGATGTTATGTGGACAAATCTTAGTTGAAAGAAAAAAAAAAACAGTGGTTATAACAGCTAACTTACCACAGGCCCCAGCTGAGGAGGAGGGTTTTGTTGGTTAGTGTCCGCCATTTTTCACAGTGCAGTTGTTCTGTGGAAAAAAATAAAACCACTTAATAACAAATACTGAAACTTAAGTCTCATAAGTAGTTCGTTTTCTCACAAACAATCAACATTTTTCAAACAAATATGTGAGTGTTGCTTTATAGTTGTTAAAATTACCAGTCAGTTTCTAATCAATGATACAGAAAACCACCAGCAAAACTAAAATTTTTTAATGAATTTTTAGAAATAGCTTCAGATACATTGGTTTGCTTTATAAGACTTTTACAAGAATAATGTCGCATAATTTGTACAGTTTAAGGTACAAATAAGGAGTAACTTATGACAAACTAATGACTTAATTTTTTAAATATTTCCTGACCTGTGAAGAGAAAACGGTTGTTCATCTGACATCCACCTCATCTGGCCTAAACTAGTTGAGTAATAGATTGCCTTGCTAACAATGAAATATACAAAAATGCCACCGTACGATTCCTGAAKGAGAAATTTACAAAAGTAAAGCTTAACGTTAGAAATGTAAAGAAGTTCTAAACACGATCGCGCTGACAGCCAGGGATCTAGAATATTCTGTTACCATCGTTACATGGTTCCACTTCAGCTAACATTAGCCACCTAGCATCTACCTGCCTTCTRTGTAACCATGCTAGTAGCGTGGTTACGACGGCTAACGATACTACCCTGACCTTACAGAAAGATGAAGAGCGATAAAAAGAAGGCTTTTAATATTACATTTGGTTGGAATACAGCGTGCCTCAGKGTCGATGAAATCCGCGGCGTAAAGGGAACCGGCTAATGCTGGCACTGCTTGCTGCTGCGTGTTGTAAATGATCACCTGACCTTCCGAAGCGGAAGTGGCAAGCTAACATCTCGCGATATTTCAGATGCTGTTGTTACACGAAATGATGTAATGACGTTTTTAAAACCCATAACAGCGTTTTACATCCTGCAATAACAAAGGATAAATTAAAGAAAAGAAAAAATACAGGAAAAATTGCCTTAGAGTTTAAAAAAAAGTTGTAACAACAGTAAACAATATTAGGTCATAACAATTATTTTTTTAAAGCTATGGTTAGCTTTGAGAGGATAATATGCAATGGAAATATAGCTATTTATCATTGTTATAGAAGGAAACTGAGGATGCTGATATATAT